CAGAAAATCCAAGAAAAGACAGCAAAATATTTCTGAAAAAGCACCGTACACTAACGCTGTGTGCAAAAATCCCAGTGGGATGCAAGTCAAACAACAACAACAACAACAACCACAAGACAACTTAGATTAAGGCCATCAGTTAGGTCCCAGGTTCTGATAAACTCTTGTTGTCCCGCCGACATGTACCTCTCCATTTGTTTTGTGAACTCGTTGTGCGTGAGGTTTGCTCGTATTTATCCCGAGCCCAACTTTGCAGCCTTCTTTATTAAATTATTCGAACGTTTCCTGCAGTTTATTTCAAGTGGACGTCAGAGTAATGACTATGATTGTCACCTCTCTAAAAAAAGACGTGCGCAATTAAATTACAGCCGAGTAAAATCGAACGGCGGCAGTGAGAACCAAAGATCGAGCCGCTGGTCCTCAGAAGTTGAAAACTAAAATAAAGAGCCATGTTTTCCCAAGTTGTATTATTATTATTAATTCAGTAAAGTACATATACAGAGCTTTTCTCAATCCACTGCTGGATGACTTCCTCGCTACACTGTGCAGGTTGTAGGCAATATTAACCAAACTTTATCACGATGATCAGTGCGGATTGGTGAAAACAGGAAGCATAGAAGTACAGCACAACGATGTAATTATGCAGCCCTCTACTTCCTGCACACCGCTCAATCCTGCAACCTATAACACCTGTTATGCAGGGTGGCTGCCCATCGAAGCACTATGGCTCATTCCCGTTAGGCTCCCAGGATCTGGTGAGAGCTGTTGCATTCTGGGTGATTTGGTTGCAGTAATGTCAGCCACTTTTATTCACTTTTGCTGGCGAGTTATGATATTTTTGGCAAATTCAATTCAACTTCCAGACTGATGCATACACGGCGAGTCTGCGATCTCATGTGTTGGAACGCCGTGTTCCACTTGTTTTTATTGAGCCAGCTTCCTAAATCTTTATTTTAAGAAAACCACTTAATGTAATGAATACGCCTGCCACAGGAAACACTGCATACCACGGAGCAATCAGAATCCGGGTCTCATATCCTGAAGCTGATGTAGTCTGAAATGAAATCAACTAACCCATGACTTCACTGCCCAACTGTCTCTGAACTTAGCATTCTATGTAATATGGGTAGTCTATTAGTGGATGGCATGTTCATTAATCATTGTCATCATCATCATCAATAATTCATATTTTTATCTTGATTTTAATCACCACCATTATTATTACTACCACCATCATCATCATCATCCTCACCTTGCGGGTGCAGGGTGACTCAGAGGTCAGAGTGCTGATATGTTTGGGTTCGAATCCAGGCAGCTTCCCGTGATTAAGCCGAGTCATCAAGTGGAGTGACTTGCTGATCTCAGCACGGTTACCAAAGTCTGCAGCAAAAAAAAATAGTTTGATTATCATGCGATGAAATGTTTTCTCTGTAGCGGGATTAGTGGGGCAACTGCTGCCCTCTTAATGTGGTTAAGAGCTGACATGGAGATATTTCAGAAGCTTTCTGTGACGCCTCCTTCCACGAGCCCTTTCTGTGGATTTCTGCTGTCCCGTGGTCACATCAGGTAACACGTAACACCGAGACAAGATTAAACACCAAAAAAGTGCAATAAAAAGTCAAACAATAACACGGAGACAGAATTACATAACATCTCGATTACGATTATCTATTCCGGGCAACGGTTTTATTGCGTTTCGTGTCGCGGAGTTGTGGTCATGCGGAAGGCTTATGAGCAATGAGACGATTACATCGCTCGCGTGGAGGCGGCCGTATCTCATCCGTGACGGCTCAGGCCACGATCTGGCACGGGGCTTTATTTAAAGCTTCCCTTTCCCATAAACTCCGCGTGCATAATCAAGTTATGGCTCCACCTATGACGTACTAAGTAATTGCAGTGCCGTTGCCATTAAGCTTTGGCACACATGCACACACACACACAAAGAATTGGCCTTTAAATTTGCACTTAAAAGGGAAAATAAATAGAAGCCCAAGTCATTATCTTGCCAGAACACGAGGACGTATTGCACATGCGACGGGCGTGTTGACGTCTTCTTGTGTTCCTCGTGCAAATGCGAGATCGTTTTGCATCATTCTAATGAGTTGTAAAACAGGGGGGCAGGAACAAACCCCCCCCCCAAAAGACAAATTAATTTTTACCCGTGTGTGTGGAGACGAGCGCGGATCAGTGGAGATGTGCGCAGCGTGTGTGCGGTGTCTTTGTGCGCGTGTTTTCATCACGCAGCTTCGTTGCGGCACGGCAGCTGTGCCCGCCACTGGAAGTGTTCACTGAGGAGGGAACGAGGTTGCGCACTTGTGCATCATTCATTACGTCTACCAAGGCAGAGAGACTCGGCAGCGCTACGATTCCACACACAGGAGGCCGTCAATCCCCTCCGATAAGCACGGTTTTGGCTACATAGGGTGCGAAAGTAGTTTGCGCCGGATGCAGAACTTCATACACAGGTAACCAACCGTGCGAATTGGAGGTGCGACAAAATACAAAGTTCTAAAGGAACGAGTTTTCAACGTAGATTTCAAAGTGCGTAGCTCCGGTGGCTTCCCAACATCGGAAGGAAGAGCGTTCCAGACGACCGCATGAGCGCGTACATTCCCCGCGATTCTCACGGTGCAACGATTCTCCCCAAAACGACCACCGTTCACCTCTAACGTCGCCACCGCTGTAGACATGGGACCAAGAGGCGACTGGGGGCCCTTCTGTGCTTCCAGCTGTCCGCCTCTTCTCATCAGTCCACTGGGATTTTGGTTGCTGGGGCCTAAACATGACAATTTCCCGTAGTTTAAAAATAAACGATGCCAAAGTGGTTTCCCCACGTGGACGAGCGCAGGACGGCGCTCGGCCCATTCGTGCAGCCACCTCGAGGCAGTGGTGGAAATTCCACATTGCCGTGGTGGGGCTGAGTCGCGTGAGTTTGCCGAACACGTTTTTTTGTAACACGCCACGCGATGAGCCGCAGAGCCACGGCTTACGGGTCATCCCGCCGAGTATAAAACAAACAACAACAACAACTCTTTTGGGTCGAACTTACTCAGCCTGCGGGCGTTGTTGACTCGTGTCTTTAATGACGCCCCTTTGGGGGAGACAAAAGTTTAAACCCTTTCCGACCTCTTCTCGGCCTCGCCAGCAGAGTCAGCAGGCTACTCATGCTGCCTGAAGTTACGGGCCTAGGCAGAGTTTGACTTCTATATTTTGTGGGGGGTGGGAGGGGGGGTTCGCGTTGTCCCTCGCATTCGGAATCGCGGATGCATATAATTAACTAATTAAACAATCTTCATTGTAAACTACTGAAAATACATCAATGAAGGTGTCCAGTTTGGGAGGGGCGTTGTCCCCCCCCCCCCCTCGTGCTCCCCATGCAAACTCGGCTCATGGTTATGGGCCAGAGAGACAGGCACCTCAACGGTGGGGCCTGTCCGTGCAAATCGCGCTGCGAACAACAACAACAACGAAGCACCCTCGCTCGAGATGCTGTTAGCTCACGCCGGTGGGAGTACGCACACTTTGCACCACCGCGTGCAACCTACCGATCGATCGACTGGGTGGAAAAAGCACGCCGTTTTTATATTTGAAAAATATAGATTTTTTTTTGCGCTGTCGCAGAGCGTTGTCAGTATCAGCATGAACAAATAAATAATCATGTTTGTTCAGGCGGACATTTGCTTTTCATTTGTTGCCCAAAATGGTCTGCAACAGAGCGAGATGAGTTTTAAATGAGTTCGGGACGCGCACGTTCCATCGAAGATGCTGTTTATCGTGCCGAATAGGAGGCAAATCTAAAATTGTGAAACGTTGCAAAAAATACACTCCGATTGCATTGGAGTGGCAGCCGTCCCACAATAAACCAGAAACAGACGTTCGCTGTGGGCATGGCTTCAGACGGGAATTGTCGCGTGCTGCCACATTCGGTCTGCCGAAGTGAAATTCTCTGGAACGGCACCAGCTGTGGCTGCGTGCTGCGCCTGTGGACATTGGGGTGTGTGTGTGGGGGGGTGTAACACCAGTGACGATTAAAGTCTGGCTGTTGCCTGACGATGCTAATTGTAACTACTGGCGAAACGTCGTGCTCAGATTGTAAATGTTGTGGGTTTACTCTCCCACACAACGGCGTGCTGTACTAGTGACGAATTGGCACGTTCTGTTTACGTGACAAACCTTACTAATTGGCTGTGTCGGGTGGTGGAGGGTTTAACGATACATTTATATTTGTGTTATCTAATCCAAAAAGACCTATTATGGATAATATTGGTCACGAGAGCCTCCGTGTTCAACTGAGCAGTGGTTAGTGCACTGCGCTATGAACCTAACGACCCGAGTTCGATTCCCGCTGACGGCCTCGCGAGTTGGCACAGTGGGGAACACAGGTCGTGTATTTGCCAGTGATCTCAATTGGTCGACCCATGGCACCTCAGTCTGTCCTGTGACCTCCTGCCAGCAGGCCTTAGACACTTCACGTGGCCTCCAAGTGCACCAAGCATGGCACAAGCGCCTTGGTGACATCACTGCCACTTGGTGGCGAACGGCAGCACTTGTTGTTGTAACACCAATCAACTTCAAGGACAGTGCATATCATTATCAGAGTTGTTTATTTTTGTTTGCATTTTGACTGCTTGTGTTGTGATTATTGCAAACATGATGCCTTGTATAAAGGTGTCAGTTTGTGCATCAGTTGAAAGGGTAAAACCCTATTACTATATTTTGCCACTGGTAAATGAGGTCTCATAGTGTAACACCAGTGATTATTATTATTATTTGCACCAATCCTGGACATCCGCTCGTTCAACTCGGCCTTAAATGAGCCCCTGTTACGCTGTGTAGAACATGAGCACTGGGGAGAGGTGACAGCGGCCGGGGCGTGGTGCTGTCGCATCCACCCTCGCGTCTCTCCGTGCCTGCCTTCGCTGACAGCTCTTGTCCCCAGCAGTGTTGTGCGGCCATTCACGGGGGAATCTTTACCTTTGTTCCGTGGGGTGTCATTGCAGGTCCAGCAGCGAGATCAGCGAGGGTTTCGGTCGGGAGGCTGCGCGTCCCTCCAGCCATGGACGCAGCGGTTCCGGCTGCCCAGGAGGCTCCGCCGCAGGTGAGCAGCGACGCGGGCCTCTCGTGCCGCACCACGGGGCGACCTGCCCGCGGATTAGCGCGAGCTCACGGTACAAACCTGCGGAATCACCCTCACCGTGGACACGGGGGGCCATCCTCCTCGATCTGGCGCGAGATTAGTTCCGGAATTTCTTTCTCTGGTCGCACCCCCCCTGCCCCCCCGTGATCCGTGGATCAAAAAACGACCGAAGACGCCGGCGTACGGCAGCCAACAGCAGTTCATGTGAATGCCGTCGCAAGAGGTCAAACAACGTTTGACGCAACGGACCTTCGCTGACTGTGCGTGATGATTGAATGAATCCTTGCTCTTTCCCCCCGACAACTCGCGTCCCACAGTTTTTTTGTTGTCTTTAGTTTGTTGTCCTTCCCCCGCACCTCCGATTCGCAAGGACGGCTACGTACCGTGCGAAAGAAGTTCAACATCCGTGCAAATCACCATGAGGCTATGTCCTCTGCCTATGATCCAGGAGTGTCAAATCCACGATCACATGGTGGTTGTGAGTGCCGGTCTCCCACGGGGAAAGGCACATCTGTGTACTTCCGCTTGTAAATAGTTACATGCATATTTGCACGTGCACGAATGCACCCTCCATCTTTACAAGGCTGCTCGCTCATAGCTCTCTCGTCGAAGCCAGTGCGCAAGTCGCCTCTTGAGCCATCAAATAATTCCTTGGCTTTGTCCATTTTCATGATAAAAAAGAGTCGTTGATTTGTTTTGCCAATAGACCCTAGATGGCCATGTGGGAAAGGCTGCTTACAATACAAACTGTGCATTCACTGCTTCTCAGCGAGGTAGAAACGCAGTGATGTCCTCCAGGCGTCTCTCAGCCTGTGCCCAGGTGGCTGACTCCGAGTGTCAGCGGTTCACAGCGCGACAGGGCCGTTGCCGTGGGAGCTGCGGTACACGGCTGTGTGTGTGTATCTGTGTGTGTGTATCTGTGTGTGTGTGTGTGTCTGTGTGTGTGTATCTGTGTGTGTGTGTGTCTGTGTGTGTGTATCTGTGTGTGTGTGTATCTGTGTGTGTGTATCTGTGTGTGTGTGTGTGTATCTGTGTGTGTGTATCTGTGTGTGTGTATCTGTGTATGGATGTCCGCTGGGTTTCTTTCCCACCGTACGCAGCCAACCGTTCTAATCGGAGGTGCGGGCGGTTGTGCCTGCCTGGATCGCGTTTTGTCTGCAAACGTCCTCTCAGTTCCAGGGCAAAGGAGAAGAGAGTTGAGAGTTCTCTTCTCGTGCGTGCTTTTTGCGTGGTTTTTGTTTGTTTTTAAATTACGGTTGCCGAGCACAGGCTCGAACGTCGAGTGGTTGCACCGCTCCGCTCCTCCTGACCCAATGTTCTGGCTCGGCCGCCTCAGTGTAGAATGACGAGGGGGAGGAAGGGCAGGCCCAAAGGCCCCAAATATCGGTTCATCTATTTGGCCCGCGCCGACTCGACTCCCCACGCGCGCGGTGAGTGAGAGACTCGGGCAATTGCTGTACCACGTGCAGCACCGCGGTGGTGCGTGACGGATTCTGTGACTGTCCAGAGGACAGCGCAGGCAGAGGGTCAGGGGGCAGAATCGGACATGTGCAGTCTGGCTCATCATTGATTTTGGGGTCAGATCGCTATTTGAGTAAAACGTGTCGTACACCCTCCTGTACACAACAACAGCAGTAAACAACAGCAGCAGTGCCATACACAACAACATCAGTAAACAACAGCAGCGCCATACACATGCGCACCTAGGCTGTGGTCTGCGCTGCCAACACCAGACTAAAGTATTCCTCAATGAGAAAAAAAGACTGAAATCATGACCAACGTACGTAAATGTTTGTGTGTTGAACTTCTTTCGCACCGCATGTAGCCAACCGCGCTAATCGGAGGTGCGGGGGAAGGACAACAAACTAAGCACAAAAAGCAGTTATAAACAAACTAGTTTTAAATCTCGATGATTTAAAAGTGCGTAGCTCCAGTGGCTTCCAAATATCGGAAGGAAGAGCGTTCCAGACGGCCGCAGAAGCGCATCTGAAAGTGCGCGATGAGGTGACCGTCTTTGTTCGATGGTTAGCAGCCAAAAGCCGCCGTTGCTGTGAGGACGACTAGAGTTTGCGTGATGATTTATGCTCCTTGACGATTATCAGCACGTGATTGTGGTTCATTTGTGAAATATTGTGGTCCTTCGGCTGACACAGCCAATTGACAACGTCGTCACGTGATGAACAAACGTGGCCAATTCACCACTGCTTCAGCAGCAGCGCCACCGTTGTGTTGGAGAGCGATCCACAACACATTCAACAATTCTGGTACACAAACATGTGCACGCGGGCAGACACGTGCACCCAGCTGTACTATCGCAGGTCTCGCATGTTCGGGGTCCATCTGTGTGCCCCCTACCCTCACCGCGGCGGTGGTGATCCTTGCGCGTCGCGACGTATTGGTCTCCGCCACCCTGGCCCCGCGCCACCAGCTGTCGCTCTCGTGGAGGAATCATCGTGCCGAGCGGAAGATCATTCTTGAGAGACGTTTCTGGGGTTCAATCCCATGGAAACTCGTGAACAAAGCCCTTTATCTTTCGAGGGTTTTCAGTCAGGTGCGTGCCATTAACAGGGCGCAAACTCAACTCTTTTACGCCCCTATTGGTATTTTCCGTCGGCTGGCGTGCCAGCCACTGGTATGCCGTGCCAAGTCATTGACTCGACAAGAGGATTGAGGCTGTCGTGGAGAAGTCCATCTCGCTCCTGCGAGATCCAAATTTTAAAACACTTCCCCCGCAAATGTCCCACTTGCGATGGTACAGAGCGACCATCCTCCACCTGCTGCGAACATTTGGCAGGCACTCTTGAAAGAGCAGTCGTGAGACTGTGTAAACATGCCAATAATACATTTGGTGATCCAGTGGGGCGATGTTGAGTTTGCTTAAGCTCATAAATCTCTTACCCAGACGATTTGGTGGTTGGCACAGTTTATAGTTGCTATTTTTGGTCACATCGTGTAAATAAAATGCGTGTCGTAAACCCTCCTGCAACCAACACAGCCAATCAATCAAGATGAATGTATGTTGAACTTCTTTCGCACCGTAGCTAGCCAACCGCGCTAATCGGAAGTGCAGGAACGTTGTCACATGAATGTTTTGGGTTTACTCTCAAAGACACCGGTGTACTGAACTAGTAACGAATTGGCACATTTTTTTTACGTGACAAACCTTATTCATTGGCTGTATCGGGTGGTCGTGGGTTCAACGACACATTTCTATTTACGCGATCAAACCCAAGAAAGTCTGCGTGTTAAACTCTCACCACCAACTGTCCACTCACTCACAACCCATGTTATTAGTGAAGAGATCTGCAGCAGAGATTGTGAAGGGTCTGTCAGGAAGATCAGCCTATTTGTGGTATCATCCTTCCAAAGATAAAACTTACCATTTGTTCATTTGCACACATGAGTTAATACTGATCCATCAGCGTGGGATGACGTTTTGTACGTGGTAGGATTTGTGGTCGTGGTGCCACATAGATTCTGAGACATTTTGTAAACATTCGTTTTTAGCGTATACATTTTAAAATAAATATAAAAAGCAAAAAAAACTACTTTCTTTTAGCTTGGGGTCATCTACGGTTTCTTCCCAATGGAATTTTGTTGCATGCTGCAAAAACACCAGGGCTGCGTTGAGGCCCTGCTGCTCTCTGCTCATGTGACGCATCGCCAACAACCTAGCGGGTTGGACTGCGGTCGTGACGCACGACAATCGTCGCTCGCTGCTTGTTTCACTCGTACATGACGTCGTTCGCATTTGTGGATAAAGCGGAGTTCTTTTTCAAGCAGCACATTTACGCACGTGCATGTTCCCACAAAAGTTGAAGCTCGCAACGGTGGCCGTGTGCAAGGCCGCAGTCGTGACGTCCCTCACTCCAGAGTCTATTGGCCAAGCTGTAAAGAGACGGCACGGCACGCTGCACGGAGAGGCCAGTGACTGGTCGCGTGCAACGACGGGTGATGACTTCGCTTCACTCTTACGGCCGTCGACGATAAAGTAACGGGCCCCGAAGCAAACCGCTTGGCGACGCGGCAGCGTTAGCAGTGGTGGCGCGCGCGCACAAAGGGCAACAGACTCGACACGTTTGTCAACTTGCGCGCTGTGAAGCAGGCCCATTGCCCAAAACGTCGTCTGTGATACGCTCTTCCTTTTGAGGGACGACACACCAAACGCATTTTGTGTAACCGGATCCAGTCTCAACATGAAACTCTTTTTGTGCACGGAATCAAAGAGCGCCAACACACTTACGCATGCAGTGTTTTTATTTCACTAATCGCTGAGCATTCAGCTTTGCTGCAAGTCAATTTACTTGCCCTGATAGAGGAGATTGTTTTTCAAACCACGCCGTGCATCGGCAAGCGAATGAGCTGGCGGTCTCAAGAGCGGCGCCTGAGGAGGTGTCGTAGCGCCGCGCTCGGACGTTGGAGTCACATTCCATCCGTCTCCTCCCGCTTCTTCACCAAACATGGCCAGGCAGTGTCAACGATCCTTCCAGGCTGTTCTCACAGCAGCGTTTCTGCGATTTTATAAACACAGGTCGTATATATATATGTATCCGCGGTTTAGTTTAGATGAAGCCGAACACGCCCTCGTACTGGACCTGTAAGCCGACAGATGACGAGCTGAGAGCTGAGAGCTTGGCCTGGCGGCTATGCGGCGACACAGCGAGCGGCACAGAGAGAGGCACAGCGACAGAGGCACGATTGGGGTTTGGCAGATCGACAAAATTCACGGATAGGAGGAATGTTCAGGGTTGTTTTGCGTCTGTAATACAATCATCCTCTTTATCCACCGCATGAGGTGCCGAGTGTTTCTAATTTCTGATGATTTTTTTTCTCCCGATTATGCTACGGCTGTTTAATTGGGGATCATACGGCAAGGCCAGGCAATGTTTTATTGGGAATTCTTGCAGCCAGCAGTAGTGCTGTACCACCCTCGTGTCAGAGAGCGGCTCATGGAGAGGGCCCTCCCAAAGCGTTACAAGGGGCACGCATTGTCACAATTCCCTTTCTTCACGTGGCAATCATTGATTGGCAGGGTGTTTCTCAAGACAGATATGAAGGCAAATTCAGTGACAGGACGCATTACAGCACAGTCGTTGGCGACCGGGCGGAGACCATCAACTCACTGGACCGCAGCGCGTGTCCAACATTGACAACGATGCAGACGAGATTCGCGTGGCCCCTGCGCAAGGGTGAGACGCAAATTCGTGAAGCGTTCCAAACGTTTTACAGAGAGCGTTTAGTGAATTAGGAAGCCACTGGAGCTATGCACTTTCAAATGGTAATTGCAAACTTATTTATTGAGGGGACTGATTTTTGCGTGGAGGCTGTCGTCCCTCTACCGCAGCTCGGATTAGCATGTTTGACTATGTACGGTGTGAAAGAAGTTCAACATACAGACGTGCACACATACTCGAGGATCGGGGTGGATGATATCCGGATCCAAACCCAGGATCTCGGCGGCGCGGGCTCATTGTCCTCAGCTTGTTGATGCCACAGCATGCCGTGTCAACCCACGCGGTTTACGCGTATTCTTGTTGAGCGAAATTGAGTTTTCGTGTCCATACGGCGTGATAGGACTTTGTAGGACTTTGTAGGATGTGTAAGGGGCACGGGGGTGACCAATAAGGCGTGTAATAAGGTAGGCGACCCCTGGTAAGGGGTTGACAGGCGTGCCACCGCTTTGGCAGCGGTGCCACAAGCACAATTGACAAATAGCTCGACACGTTCGTCAGCGACACTGTGGCCTCATCGGCGGGGGCTTCTTCATAGCCCATAAATAGAAATGCTGGAGAGACAGATTGGATGATAATAAGGGTCGGAGACTGCACTTTACAATTTAAGAACTTGTCATCAGAAAACGATATAATGAGCGGTCTCCAACTCTGATTACCCACCCAATTTTTTCAGAACTGCTATTTGCGTTTTGTTTGTTGTCCTTTCCCCACACCGGTTGGCTACATGCGGAACAAAAGACGTTCAACACACACGCACGCATACGTTGGTCATGACTTTGGACTCTTTCTTTTTTTCTCACCGTGCACACGGGGCGTCTTCCTCGATCTGGCACGAGATTAGATTCGGCATCCTTGCTATGGTCGCCCTCCCCCCCCACCGTGATTCGTGGATCAAACAAATTACTCGAGACGCCGGTGTATGGCAGCCAAGAGCAGTTCATGCGAATGCTGTCGCCAGAGGTCACACGACGTTTGGCGCAACGGTCTTTCTCTGACTGTGCGTGATGAACGAACGAATCGTTGCTCTTTCCCCGTGACTACTCACGTCGACGTTAGGAGGCCACTGCAGCTATGCAGTTTTAAATCTAGCTACGAAAACTCTTTCATCTAGAAATTATTTTCGTGTTTAGTTTGTTGCCCTTCCCCCGCACCTCGGATAAGCACGTACGGTGCGAAAGAAGTTCAACACACGTACATATTCGTGTGCTCTGAAGAAAGGCCATTGACATTACATACGATTCCTTTAAAGGCGGTGAGATGTTAACTCCCTCTCCTGGCATACAGGAAGTCGTGGGTTCAGGTTCTCACATCGTTCAGGCTCTCACCTGGCCCTGCTTTCTACCATTCAGATGGTAACCTGCTGAGGCCCTTCCCCGTTCAGGCTTTCACCTGGTTCAGTATCTAACCTGGTTCAGGCTGTCACCAGGAGCAGGCTATCACCTGGTGCAGCTTCTCACCTGGTTCAGGCCCTCACCTGGTTCAGGGTGGCGTCCAAGGGACTTTGAGCTCTTGCTCCGCGCCTGATTCGCGAAATACATGGACGCGTCATAAATCGTCTTTATAATAATTTGTATTGTTCAATACGGTGTTTTTAATGTCATATTCGATTGCGCCAGCAGCATCACTGATGTCACTGCTGCAGTGCTCCGCAGGCAGGGAGCGGAGCCACTGAAGGCTTTTTCGCCCTTCCTGCATTTAAACGACTTCTCAGAACCACCGCAAGTTCAGCGCTCACCGAAACCATGGGCAACTGAGGCGCACACGTGCGCCGCGGTGGCGAGGAGATGTTAACTACCTCGCCTGGTGCACAGGAGGTCGTGGGTTCACTTCCGACCCTGACGCCTGCTGCTATATATTTGGAGTTTGCGTGTCTCTCTCTCTCTCATTATCATCACGGCGGTAGCTAGGAGATGTTAACTACCTCGCCTGGTATACAGGATGTCGTGGGTTCGATCCCGACCCTGACGCCTGCTGCTGTATATTTGGAGTTTGCGTGTCTTTCTCTCTCTCCATGGTCGGGTGGATTTTTCTCCGTGTCCTCCGGTTTTCCCCTGCACATTTAAAAAACGTGCGTTTAGAGTATTTGGCTGCTATACATTTCCACGTTACGATAAGCCACTTAGTTGAGCAATCATTTTTGGAAAGGTCGCTTCTGAAAAATAGCTACGGTGGCAAGATGTTGACTACCTCGCCTGGTATACCGGAAGTCGTGGGTTCGTTTCCGACCCTGACGCCTGCTGTATATTTGGAGTGTGCGTGTCTTTCTCTCTCCCCCGTGGTCGCGTGGGTTTTTCGCTGTTTCCCTCCACATTTAGAATCCACATGCCTTTAGAGTATTTGGCTGCTATAAATGTCCACGTGATAAGCCACTTCGTTGAACTATCATTTGTGGCCAGGTTGCTTCTGAAAAAGAGCCACATAGCTCAGTGGGCCATACCTTGTTAAATAAAAATATTAAAATCGTAATAGTTTTTGCGGTTGCGGTAAGTACGAAGGCCCATGTGTAGGCCGGAATAATTCTTAAGCGGACATTTTAAATCAATCCTGGATGTTCACAGGAAACCAGTGCGGTGATTTTAAGAGCGGAATAAATGTGGTGTGAGCAACAGCATGTGTATGCACCCTCGCTGCCGCATTTACAACCAGTTTCAGCCGACCGTCGCTTAGAATCAGGACGGTCAGCAAACAAAGAATGGCAGTAATATATAACTGAGAAGTAACAAAATCACTGATCACCATCGCAGAGATATCGCGGTCGCTACATTGGATTCTTGCATCCGCGGTAAGTGCATCGAGTTCAAGAAGCGATTTATTTAAGTCTCATAGTTTTGTTTTTGCTTTTATTCAAATCGCACCATGGCGGATTCCGCAGATGCACGCAACCGCACCATTGGGTCGAAACCAGGACCCCCAAAAGATCTTGGATTGGGGTGGGGGAATCGTTACATCCCAAACCCCGTGCCACTCTGGAGCCCTTTTGGAATTACACCGGATGCCTCGTAATTCTGCCGGTGCCAAATATGGAAGTTGGGGCCAAGTGGGTCACCGCCCGACTGGTGCAGGCCATGCCCAGAGCGCCGTAGCAACAAGGGGTTACAGTGCGCACGCGTGCCATCGCGATAGCGGCGCAAGAGGCGGTGAATGCTACGTTTAAGATGCACTGAATTGATAATTCCTCTAAGAACTGTACGGCGAGCCCCGCTTAACAAGCAAAGGCCTGGTCAGGATGTCAAACCGAGAGCGTGTCTCAAAGTGCATCGGTGCTTGAAACGGCAACATGTTTACAGGAGGGCATCGCATTTCCGACCGCCACATATCCGCCCGCCACATATAGGCCCTGCCCGATTATGGGTGGTAAGGGCAGCGCAGTTGTAACACCAGCGCCTCGCAGCAAGAAAGACCTGGGTTCGATTCCCAACTCGAGCACCTTTCAGTGTGCAGTTTGTATGTTCTCCCCCTGTTCTCCAGAGTGTGAGAGTGTGCAGTTTGTATGTTCTCCCCCTGTTCTCCAGAGTGTGAGAGTGTGCAGTTTGTATGTTCTCCCCCTGTTCTCCAGAGTGTGAGAGTGTGGAGGTTGTATGTTCTCCCCCTGCTCTGCATGGGTTTCCTCCGGCTCTTCCGTAGCTAATTAAGCACCCACAATGCCAGTGGTGACACCTCCAGGGATTGTGGCACGGAGTGAAACGGCTGTCCAGCAAGGGTGCAGCAAGCCTCCGCCACAGCAAAAGTACAGCCACACGACGGCTGTAGGTGTTGACCTGTCCCGCACCGTACGTAGCCAAGCGCGCTACTCGGAGGTGCGAATGTGCCAGCCGCGGCCGGTGCACGGCACGGCGGAGCGCGGCGGAGCCCCTGGACGCCGCCGAGCCGCATCTCGCCGGCGGTAGAGAAAGGCTCCAAGAAGCCGGGCGGCAGCCCGTCCCCGCCCCGGCGACGACGTCGCGGTTGCCGGCGACGGTGGGAAGCTGCGCTCCCTGGACGCGAGTTCACGGTCGCGTTGTGGGCCCGACGGACGGGGCGAGGCGTGCGTGGTGTTGTCCGGGTAGGACTTCTGCTGCGGACCTCCGCCGGCGAGCGCCCGCATTTCGCTTGACTGCGTGCCGTCCGTGTTTTTCATCTTGCCGCATGCTGGCGCGGGATGTCACGCGGCTGAGGGGACCGCTAGCTTCTCGATGCGCGATCGTACCACCGCGGCGTGATTGAGCTGCGCGAGTCGTGCCAGTTCGATGTGGGCAGTTGGTCCGGACCGCGGGCGCAGTGGCAGCCCGGCAGGCCCCGAGACGCGCGCCGTTTGTGATTTGGAGCCGGCCGCTTCGCTATACGAGACAACTTCTCCGCTCTTTATCTTCCGAGCTACTCTAGAGAGGAGGTGTCTGTGCTCGAGCGTGCGGCCTGGGGTTACCGCGAGCTACACTGGCAGAAGTGGAGTGGGCAGGAGATGCGGAGGTGGGCCGGGGGGACAGTGATGGGATGGGTTTTAAAATGGAGTGGTTTATTATTGTGTTTGGGCACATTCCGTTTAGTTTACATCGTATTTGGTCGAGTGCTGCTCGACCAAGTGAAGAAACGATGATTTTTGCTTCGCTAAAGAATATCTCCTTTGGTTTCCGATGTGCACGCACCGCGCTCCAAGTTGAGAGGTCGTTGGTGAGGGTACGGTCAGTGGTGGCTCAGAGCCAGCGTGACTGAAACTCCAAGTTGGATGGTAACTCAAACTATTTAAAACTTTCATCATTTAACAAAAATATTTTACCAGGTAAGGCTCACTGAGCTATGCAGCTCTTTTTCAGAAGCGACCTGGCCACAAATGATCGCTCAACAGAGTGGCTTATCGTGTGGACATTTATAGCAGCCAAATACTCGAAACACTTGATGTTGATTCTAAATCTGAAGGAAAAAACCGGAGTGCCCAGAGAAAAATCCACGCGAACTCGGGGAGAAAGAACACACAAACTCCAAATTTCCATGGGGTCAGGGTCGGGATCGAACC